AAATCTTACCCTTGAATTTTGGGGAGAATATGTCCTCATCAATCGCATTCCTTCCCCTCTGTTGCATAATCGGTCCCCTTATGAAATTTTATTCCATACCAAACCCAACTATAACGATCTTCGTATTTTCTGTTGCTTGTGTTTTGCATATAATATTCATCACCGAGACAAAATTTGATTATCATGTGAAACCAGGTATTTTTATCGGTTATCCCTTTGCTCAAAAGGGCCATCAAATTTTTTCTATTGTCACCCGTCAAACATACACCAGTAACGATATCATTTTTCATGAGTATATTTTCCCATATGCCAACATCTAATACCATGCTACAAACCCCAACCGTGTCTTACCTTTACTTGTCCCCGACCATTGCCCACCATCACCCATTTCGGACCCACAACAATCTTTTCCTTCTCAAAACATTCCCTGCACCTGCCACCACAATCTTCTCTCCCAACTGGACCCCACCTCCACTCATACCCCACCCACCGAGATCAAGTTTCGAGCACCTCTTCTTCACGTTCTTTCTTTGCTCTCCTTCCTCTTCAACTGCCATGATGAATCCCCACTACCCCCATCTTCTGAAACAAGGTTTTCCAATATTCTTTCTGGAATCTCTGCGGATGCTTATTCATTTTCCCCATATTACATTCACCATTCGAATAGTCTTGGGACTACTCTTGTCTCCAAAGTTCTTACTGGCGACCACTATTACAACTGGTCGTGTGCTATGTATATGGTTTTGAATGCCAAAAATAAATTGGATTTCAAGGATGGTTCTCTCCCTCGACCTGAAAAATCACCTCTTATCGATATAAATGTAGTAAATAACTTTTTTTTTTTTTTTACCAATGTTCAAGACTTTATTGAAATGCTAAAAAGAAATTACATCAGAAGAAACAATAATAGAATCAAGACCAACGCCCCCTGTAGCCAAAGAATCAGCAACCTCATTAGCCTCTCGAAATACATGGGAGAAAGAAATAGATACGGAAGTCGAGACATCCAAAATTCATAGCCACAGAGACCGAAGTTCCCAGGGAACAGATTGCTCTTTCCTACACCATTTATGAAGTTCAAATAATTCCCTTCAACAATACAAATGTTCCCCAAGTTGCGGTGTTAAAAAATAAGCAATCCCCTGAGTAAATCGCTCATCTCTGCAAGATTCTAAGTTGACACACCAATAGGTCCTGTATAGGAAAGAATATTGTTCCCAAAACAATCTCTAATAATTCCCCCAATACATGCCGGACCTGGATTACCCATTGGGCTACCATCAAAATTAATCTTAAGGTATCCAAAGGAAGGAGCACACCATAAAGTTTTAGATCTAGCTTTTCTCACTCCAAGTGTAAAAAGATTGGAGAGGTTGGACATGACATCCAGTTTAGTAATTCCCCATTCCTTCTTGGTCATAGAAAGAGAATACCAAATAGTCTGCTGAATTAATAGAATGACCTTTTGGAAGGGTAAGACTACACCTTTAAAAGTCCTTCTATTCCTTTCTTTCCAAATTTCCCACAACATCATACTTACTGCAATCTTCCAGACAATTCTCCCTGTCTTAAGAAGAAAGGGCATTGAGAATTGTGTGAGCATTTCAGATACATTTTACGGCATAACCATAGAAACCCCAACCAAATTAAACAACCAGGGCCAGATTTAGGAGGAGAAAGGGCAATGCGTCAACACGTGTGTAACAGATTCCCCATCTTATTTGCAAAGTAAATAGACATTAGTCAAAATCTTACCTCGCTTCATAAGGTTATCAATAGTCAAATTTTTGTGTTGTGCTGCAAGCAAGATAAAAAGCTGAACTTTATGGGGAATAGATCATTTCCAAATATGGACATTCTCAGGAAAGGACCACCTATAGCGATCATGGAACAACAAATTGTAACTGGATTTTACTGAGAAAATAGCATCACTCTCAATCTCTCATACCATCTCGTCTACAAAATCATGTGAGATATAAACTTTTTTCAACAATTCCATCAAGGCACACTATTGGGAGAAAATAACATTACTCAGCCTCCTGTATCTGAGATTGATATTCCAAAACAACCTATCCCCTCTTCTTTCTACTACATCTCCAACAAACAAATCTGGTTCAGCAACCACATGGAAAAGGTTAGGGAAAGCAATTTTAAGAGTGAACATTCCAATCCACTTATGATGTCAAAATAGGGCCTGCCAGCCATTACCAATAATTTATTACTATGTACAATCCCTCGTGAACATTCCAATTCACTTGTGAAATATTACTATGTACAATCCCTAATAATTTATTACTCCTTTCCATAGAAGACTGAGATTCTCTATATCGTATATTTCTGGAGAGGGCTTTTCATCGCATAAGAAGCACTTTCATAACTAAACAAGCATGAAGCCATCTCCTCACCAAATACATCAAAATGCATTGGATGTCCCTTGGATGAGGGACAGCACTTTCCCCCACACAACACTACTACTGTTATCATCAACACTATTTCTTTTATTTGAAATATTTTAAATCTCTTCTCATCGTCTTTTCTTTGTTGGCAATTTCTTTTCCATCATTTAGTATAGGGAAGAGTAGTATAGGGAAGAGAAAAGAAGAGAAAGCCTAACATACACATGGTTTATAAAGCATGTACCATTTTACTAGATATATTTGCCACCCCAGCCAATATATTGGAGACTGGGGAAACGAGAGAGAATGTTAGGAGAGCATATTGCATGAATGCATGCTACATGGTTGTGTACCTGACTTGGCCGAGTGGCGAGGCTGAGTACACCGAGTTGTGTGTACAGTTCAGGGCATTTATAAAATTCAAAAGAAAAAAAAATTATAAAAGTTTTGATATGCTATAGTAATTTTTCATACATGAATTAGATATATTTGGCCAAGATTGGTGAGTATTTTTTGTTACATCCATTTTTTTATTTTTTAAAATATCTCAAATTATAAATTACCTTTTTTTTTAAATCCATGTTTTTCTACTTTTTTTAACTTTATTTTATCTTTTTAAAGGTGTTTTAGGTTTGATTTCCTTCTAATATATGCTTTTTTCAATTTTTTCTTAATTTTTTTAAAAGTTTTTTTGAGCCTTTTGGCCATGTGTTGGGCTTAGCAGAGTTTACAGGTCTCAGCCGAATAACTCACCTCGACATAGCTATATACTTGTTCCCTTGGGCAAAACAAGCTTATTAGGAGAGTTACTTATATCTAAAACTTTGAGATCAGAGAAGTTTTAAATATTGATAATAGCATGAAACGCCTTTAATTCAGGTGGTATTACTAACAAATAATCCCTATCATCTATCATGCAAATGATAGACCAAGATTTATATAGCCGACCTTAAATAAATTAAAAAAAAACTTGAACAATGATGATGATGTCATTCATCCAGATATGGAGATAGGTGCCCCAAATCATGCACTATATTCCAATGGTGCATGTGAGGCTTTTCTTATTAACAATTAACAAAGTTTACTTACTTTTTAAGCAGCACAAACCAAGATGAGAGACTGTTTAAGACAACTTCGCCGACTTAGTGTCCCTTAGTGCCACAACAACAACAACATTAAAGTGGCTTGAGATTGGAGCCGAGTTGGTGGCTTGAGGCTAAAGTGCTTAATCTTCTTTTATCAATTGCTTAAAATTCGTAATATTAATTAACCCATGACTTTAAACCCTAAAACGGGCTTTAACCGTACAAAACCATTGAAACTGGATGCCGAAAGCAACCTGTCCCAATCGAATGGTTCCCCATACGCTTATTCTCTCTCCAAATGAAGCCTTTTGGATAAGGACGAAAGACAAAAGGCGGCCTCATGTCCCCTATACAAAGCATCACCTCTTTTTTGCACCATGTGATCCCGTCCCTTTTTGTTGCAAACCCCAAAATACATGCACTTTCCCGCCGGTTGCTCTCCCTCTCTCTCTCTTAGCCCAAAATTCATCCATTTTCTCCGCTTTACAATTCGTCCCAGTGTAAGAAGCCATGACTCACCCCGAGAACACGCCCCTGGCCGGGCATAATAACTCGGCCTGAGTTAGATAGGTCTTGGTCAGGACAAAAAGTGTTTAAAAAATAAAAATAATTAAAATTTCCAAAAAATATATAAATATTTGTTTAAGGTAAAACTAAGAATGACTTACATACGGACCTTAAATTTTTTCTTTAAATACGCAATTTTTTTTTATAGGTAGAAATTACAAAGAAGGTCGATCCATCTATTTTTTATTTTTTTCAAAATTTCCCTTCGATCTTGGGATGGAATCCTCGGTCTGGATTTTAATATTTTTTTTCTTTTTTCTTTAGTAGGGTTGTGTTCCAAGCTTTAGGCTAATGCGCTACTAATGAAAAACTACAAAAAAATATAATTAAAATTCAGTCCAAGGACATAAGGGCAATTTTGAAAAAATAAAAAAGGGGTTCACCAACCTTTTTTGTAATTTCCACTAGCATTTCATAGCTTAGAAAAAAAAAGTAGGATCTGTACGTAAATCAATCTAAAATTAAAAAAAAAATTCTATATAGGGCTAAAAAAGTAAAAAAATATCAACTTCTAACCGGGGTATTTTTGAAATGATTCAAAACAAATTATAAAAATAAGTATTCATGTACAAAATACATGAATCTACACCAAAATGATAGAAAATATAAAAATACATATTACAAATAAATTTCTTATTATTTTGAATTTTCTATATGTTTTTTGAAAAAAAAAATTAAGATCCGGTAGGTTGACCTCCAAACCGAACTCAGATACTCGGGCTCGAGTTACTCGGTTAAGCAGGATTAACCGAACATTGATTCATCATATCCTTCCTCTCTCTCTCGCTCTCTCTCTCTCTCTCTCTCACTCATCCTCCCTCTCTATCTCTCTAGAACTTATCTTTTTACAAACCGAATCCTACGAACAAAAGTAGCAGAGCTAGTGACAATAAAATAGAAGTCTACAACCTTCATTTTTTGCCCTATAAATATGCCCATGTCCCCCGCAACAATTCTCCCCGCTTCCTCTCCTATGAAGGAAAGGAAAAGCACAAGAAAGAAAGATACAAAGTGTGAATTAAGTAAGAAGAAGGTTCTCATAGAGCTAGTGGTGGTGCATGTGCCTAAACTGATTAGAGCTCTAACCTCATATTCCTTAGATTTGCCTATATAACTCACACAACTTCTTCATATACTCCTTCCCTCTTCATTTTGCTCTCTCTTCTTCCCTTCAAGAGTCCTCTGTGGTCTCCCTTTCCCTGTTCTATTATCTCTTTGCCCATTTGTTAGACATGGGGGAGTCCAAACAGGTTACAGTTTTATTTTTTTTGGGCTTTGTTATTGAGTCTTTCTATTGATCTTTAATTCTTGTGAGATGATTTTGTTTTTCTTAGAGGTAGATCACTTGGTTTAAGAAATTTATAGGCTATTTTATTTTAGTTTTTTCTTTGAATGTTATGTTTCTAAGCTGCTTTTGTTTGCAGGAAGAGGCTAAGGTCGAGGCTCAGCCAGAGGCTAAACCAGTAGAGGAGAAGAAAGAAGAGAAGACAGAGGAGAAGAAAGAAGAGAAGAAAGAGGAGATCAATGTACAAGTTCCTACCATCTTGTGGGTAGATTTGCATTGCGTTGGCTGTGCCAAGAAAGTAGAGAGATCCATTAGGAACTTCAGAGGTCTCTCTCTCTCTCT